CAGGAATCAATGGAGGTCAAATTCCCCCCTTACCAAACTTCAAATACATGCAGCCATTGACAGAGGTGTCCAGATACAAATATACAAAAATTATCTCTACTCTCTACTCCATAGATTTTAAAAATAGACTTGCTTTGTTCCATTTAAGCTCATTTTCATTATGACCTGTTGGTATTTAAAAGAAATAAAAACCATCAAAATGATTTGTTTCATTCAGACGATTCATTTTTTAGTGGTTGGCCTCAGTACTGCACCAAAATAAATAGTTCAAGAATGAATAGAAAATCCCTTTATTGTCCCACAATGGGGAATTTGTGATGATGCAGTTAAATCTGACACTATTGAAATTAGTAATTAAACTAAGAAAATTAAGTGTATAAGGAAATTATCATCCAGAATTGTAGAAAAAAAATTTCTTAAAATGCTTCCTGGATTACTTTTAAACTTACCGTAGTAGTTTTGAAAATACTTTTGAGTAAAAAGCTTAAATTAATGCTCTAACTTCTACAAAAGTGTTTTAAACAGTAGGATATATTATATACTTCTACTTGAGTAATAAAAAGGAATTATTTTTATCACCTCTGTCCAGTGACGTGATTGAAACAATTCATTAATTTCTTTAGTGGAACCAATACTTTGGTAACATAGTTTAGCTTATAGTTGGTCAGACTGGATGCAGGACATCTAAAAAAAAAAAACATCTGTTAAATTATTTCAGATGTTTCTTGGATCTGGACTTGAGAACAAGCAATGCATTTTGTTTTTAAGGCCAATGCTAACCAGTTATTTTGTCATCAGTCTGATTCCACATAATGTGCTGCAGATATGTTTAAGCATATTCGTGGACTAATATATTTTTTCCTCCATTTACATAATAATGTCACAATGATAAATGTAACACAAATCTTACAATAACAAATAAAACATTTATAAACTACTCAAACATACCTTAACAATTTATAGCAAATTGCCAATCTTTAATAAACATTTTAAATGTGGATAACTTCACTTCCAGCAGTTGAGTCATCAGATTCCTCCACGAGGCATCCCCAACCTCGGTCCTCGAGGCCCGCTGTCCTGCAGGTTTTAGAGGTTTCCTTGCTCCAGCACAGCTAATTTTAATTGAAAGCTGATTAACAGGTTTTTGGTCTACTGCAATCATTATAACCAGCTGTGCTAAAGCAGGGAAACCTCTAAAACCTGCAGTACAGCGGCCCTCAGGGACAGAGGATGGGGATGCCTGCTCCACATGATCAGTAGATCTATTTAGCTGCCCCAGAATTACCTGACCTATTGGGGTCATCTATCAGTGTGATCTTTGTTCAGTCCATCACTATAGTTGTTAAAATCTATTTAGAAAATCTGGAGGTTGGGATTCTGATCTGCCAACGGGTGAAAAAGACAAGATAGTTGGGGGTTTTAAAACAAAATGCATCTTGTCTTGTGTCTATGTTCCTCATGAGTCCTAAATTCTCAACTTTTCTGAAGAACAAATCCCAAATCAGCTGATCAACAAGCCTAGATGAGACAGGTGTAATTTATATCTAACAAGAATATTTGTTTTCTTAAATATAAACAAAAGTCTATACAAAGTCGCACTATTATTTCCAGGTGCTGTTATTTTAATCAGTTGTGCACATCTGCTGCAGGGAGGATATAAAGAAGCCTTTAGGTAAATCAGTTTCTCTTATCAGAGACAGCCCTTTGCTAATGCAGAGTAACCTGGGATTACAGGGATGGTTTATATTTAATCTGAACACAGTCCTTACCTTCAGCATACAGTAATTCAGATAAAGCTCCTCATAGTTTTATAACATCCAGCAGCACCACACTAACCCAGAGGGCAAAGGGTGTTTTTGTAGAATCATGCAGTATAAACAGATTGAACTGATTATTAATGTGCACATTTCCTTAAAAAGTTTTAATTCTGCCACGTTAACAGAATTATCAAACTTATGTTTTTCAGTTAACTAAAACTGAAAGACATTTGGGCTTTAGTGGATATAAAAAGGAGCCAACCTCTTTAAAATATGGAAATGCTGCTAATCCTTCATAATCCAAACGGTAGACTGCACCATACAGGAACGGAAAATTAGCTGAAAGATAAAAATGACTAAACAGATTAATTCAGGGAACAAAGAATTTTATGGTATGGGGGGAAAAACTGGTATACTTTAGCAGGAAGCTTGATTTAGAGTAGAAAAGTATAAAAGAAAAGAGGAGCATAAAGATAAAACTTGATAAAATAAACTAATGAAGGGGAAACAAACTGCAGATATTTCAGTCACCAGTTTCTGGGGGAAAAAAATAAAATAACCTAATCAAGATTTACTTCAGCTTCTCTTCTATAACAGGCATCAGCTCAAATAATTATCATTTGTCCCAAAAAAAATAAATATAAATCTTATACCTCTGAATTTTACAGGTAGAATGGCCGATGTCATTTTAGTTTTAGTCAATATCAGTTGATACCGATAATCATAGTGCATCACTGCCTGAAGGCATCCAGATAAATAAGAAGTTAATGTATTCAGCACGTTAATTTTTGTTTCTGGGTCCAGATCCTGTTTGAGACTCTAGAGAAAAATATATATATATATATATTTTTTTTTAAATAAAACAGGTCAGATATTTAAGTGCGTATTAAGGCGGATCTGCAAACTGGGACCAAATATAATTATTAAAATAGTGCAAATGCTTAATCTTTGCTACTTGTACTCTAGAGCTGACAGAGTAAAAATGGTTTATAATGACATAAGATGCACTTTTTTTTTTTTCTTTACATAAAAGAACAATCATGCTCTTAAAAACAGTGCAAAGTATTCATCCCCCTTAAATGTCTCTACATTCAATCAACCATAAATCGGAGTGCATTTAATTGAACATTAATGTGATAGACCAATGGAAATTAGAGGTAAAAATAATTAACCTACAGTACAGTCAGTTCTCTGCACCTTGCATATTGAAATGAAATTTGAAAAAGTTTGACATGCAAATACCTTTGCATAAAAGCCGCTGATCGTACTAAGGAAACTCAACAAAAGCATTTAAGTTTTCTTTCATATATAAAGTTTTATTTCAAAACATTTCAGGTCCAAAAATACAACTTAAAACCCAAATACAAGCCTGTACATGTATATAAACTGTGCTTTTGTTTCTGCAATAAAAAATAAAAAAAGACTCTCCATATAATTGCTGATAAACAGCCTTAGAAACGTTTTGCATGACGTAGTAAAGATAAATGAGGCCTCCTCTGGATGAGAGTGTGGTGCTTTGGTAACACCTGCTAATGCGCAAAGATTCACATAAAGTGATAAAAGCACTTTGAACAGCAAAAGGTTACGGTGTATCTTCATATTACAGGATATAAAACATGCTCCAGATAAACTACATTAATAACAAAATCTTTTTAAAACATGCAAAACATACAATAGAACATTTGAAAATATTTAAAACATAATTACTAATCTGAAAAAAAAAAAAAAAAAGCAAAGACAAACGGGTCAGGATGGTTTGTTCAGATCCAGATACGCTGAACCATTTCCCAGTAAAATCGGACGCGTCACCTGTAAATCCTGATTTGTCAGTTTTGGTTCTTGTCCTCAAAAGGCCAAATGTCACTTTTAAAACCAAAGCCCGGCCTTCCTCAGGCTGCACACTTAAAAACAGGCCTACTCAGCCGGAGGGTTCTTGTTCTTCTTATTCAGGATTTTACGGAGGCTCTCGGGCATCAGGTACGGCCTCTCAGCGCTGCCGTCGTTCCTCTCTAGGTCCTCCACTGGAAAGATTCAGGTAAGAAAAAAATAAATCAAGCAGCTGAAACGTTTGGTCCGAGCACTAAACTTCCCAACAATGAAGGTAGAGGAACGTTTAAGAGACAAAAACGGTTTAGTTTAATAGGAAAAGGCGTCCAGCTTTATCAGAGCAAAGAGAAACATGCATCCATAAGTTTTCAATCTTTATCACAGTTAACACACAGCATCGTTTTTTTGTTTTTTAAACTATTTAGTAAATTAAGCTAGAACCCTGCTAGGTCCTTGTGGCGTTTAACAGTTATATCAGATATGGATTAGTGTGAGAATAAAGCGCTTCACCAGGATTACTGAGTGCACTGCAAAAAAATTTAAATCTCAAAAAGTCATTTTTTCTTAAAAAAAGTGCATGTTTTCTTTAATTGAGGAGGTAAGTGATAAACTTTTCCAATGGAACAAGACAATTTACTATCTAAAATAAGAATTATGTCTTATTACAGACAATATAATTGCAGATCATCTTATTTTAAGAGTAACAAAATTAATTCCATTGGCAAATCATATTTACCAGCTCAAATTAAGGGTAAATACGATGAATTTAAGACATTTTTAGATCTTTTTTGTGGTTTAGATATTACAGCTTCAAAGCAGCCCATTGTTTTACATTTACAGTAAAAACATGGAGGCCGTAAAAGAGGCACAACATGGTCAAGTTTTCACTCTTAAATCAAACTGTTAGTCGTTTACCAGAATACAAAAGCACACACACCCAAAAAAGACAAATATAAATAAATCTCCATGATGGGAGAATGCTGTACTTTCTCACCAATTAGTGACTGCACAGACTCTTTAAGAGTTTTTAAAACTTGTATGGAGTGAATTTTGTTCCATTATCACAGCAAGAAAATATAATTAAGTTTAATTGCCTTCTTTTCAAACCGTTTTAGATCACATTATCTTCTCCTCTGCAGGGAGATTTCCAGGATTAATGTCTGGAAATTGTCAATGTGGGCATTAAAGGCAATTGTTTTAAGCTTGTGGAAAATATGATCAGTGGGACAATTTTAAAAAGAATGCAATTCCTAAATCTCAGTTTTTTTGTTTTTGTGGGGGGGTACATTTGAAAGAAAATTTTTTTTTTCTTTTTTTATGTAAGAAAATGTCTTGAGAAATTCTTAAAGATACAGTTTTTTACTTTTCATTTCCAAAATGGATTTTTTTTCCACCAATTGCCATTTAGGAAATGCGTTCATTGCTTGCATCAATACTGGAACAAAAACTCCTTCCATATTCCTGACTGTTTCCTATGCTGAGCTTTGATATCAAAATAAAATGTATTCATATTAAGGCAAATTTTGAAATAATTTCCATCCAGCAAAGTAGATTTTTATCTTCAGTGGATGTTATATTTTATTTTAAGGCATGTTGAGAATGTAATAATTGGTAGAACATTCAGTATTACAGAAATCAAACTATCGTTTTAATGCAGATTTTGAAGTTTGACTTTTGATGGAGAGCATCAGGTCAGAAAGACCTCATTACCATCACCCTCATCTCTTTACCTCCATGTTTCTATGAATTTAGGAGATGATTCTGCTGGGCTGCTCAAGAACATTAGTATGAACTCCAGTCAGGAAAAACTATGCTAGAAACCTAATAATGCTAACATTTGAGGCTCAACTGAAATTAAATTAAGTGAATAAATAAACTCCCCTTTTTGGCAAAACATGAAAACATTATCGTTACAAAGTAAACTGTCAGGCTTTGAGTCGTTCCATCAAAGTCTGACTATAGAGAGTAACGATCATGCAAGCACTAATCCCACCCCTTATTTTCACCACTGTCTCTCCTCACTTCCTGGTTCCTGCAGTAGATTGCATTGAAGGGCTACAACATGTGTAGCACAATGAGAAGCGCACAGCTCAAAATATTTGTAAAGTTGAGCTAAAAACAACTGAGGTTTCCATACAACCATCACTTTAAGTTTGACTAAACAAAGGGCAGCATACTTTTTGGTGGCCATTCTTAAGGGTTGCATTTAAGGAGTTGTTGTCCTGTGCACAAACGGAGGATTACCAGACTAATCTGGATTTTATTGTCCTTTTAACTTCTACAAAGTCCTAATCTCTAAGCTTTGTCCTTCTCCAGAGGCTCTTTTAGCGTTGCATCGTCCTCCGGCGCGGACAGATCCTCTGCTTCATCCTTCCACAGAATCTCACGCAGACTCATCGACATGAAATAAGGCCTCTCAGCCGAACCGTCGTTGCGTTCCAGGTCTTCACCTTAATGTTTGAGTGTGTGTTTGTGTTCATAGGTGGAGCAGAAATTAGTAGATTGTGGAATAGCAGTGTTAAAGGGAAACAGGAGAGAGAGGAAAGGAGAGACAAAAACCAGAAAGAAAGTCAAAATGGCAAGCAAAGGCACCCAAAGACTTGTAGCTTTTGAAAGTTACACATGAAGCAAACAAATCTCAGGTAAAACAGAACAAAACAACCAGGCTGTTATGCTGCAGTCGTGCAGAAACTTAGCGGTAGCTCACCGTTTTAAGGAGTTAGGAATTAGTGAAAGCACCAACCCTGAGAGCAAAGTCAGGAAAAGCCAAACACTGAAATAAAACAAATCAACACTTACAGAAGCAGAGGAACAGGGTGTCCACACACATGGCGTACACGCTGAAGAATCCATGGGCGATGAGATACGAACCGACCACCACGGTCTGTGGGGGCAATCAGAACCATCAATGGAAACGTCGAAGTGTTCCTGAACAGCAGAGTCATTTCAAAAAGGAAAACTCACCAGGATTGGTACCCAGTAGTAGTGGAGGTGGGGGGCTGTATCTTCAAAGGCTTTCACACGTCCAGAGAAGAAAAAGAAGGAAAAGACCCCTGAACAGAAAAAAAAAAAAAAAAAAAACAACACTTTTTACATAACTGGATAGCTTCATACAAAAATATATATTACCGGTAAGATCCAATTTTGAATGTTGAAATACGCGGGATGCATTTGTAGCCAATTTAATTCCTGCTGTGTTGGAATTATTTGAACATAAAATGCACAAAGAAACAGGCTGATTTTCAACTATTTTAGCAGGTAAACTGTTTTCTAGAGGAGGAAACACCAACAAATGCTTCGCTTTGTAGATTCATTAAAGAAGAGGGAGATCGGTAGTGATGTGATCCATTAGGGGAGGGGCCAAAATTGATGACGTCCAAAACCTCGTTACCCTGATACCACGCGAGCGCTTCGGAAAGTGGATCAGAAAGCACAAGAACTTCGACAGGCATTTAAACAGCCTCATTACTCAGGCCCGTCCACGCAAAGTCAAACCCTGGCCTAAACGCACAAATTTTTCACCAAACCAGCCTCTCATCCACACGAAGCCGGCGTTTCGGGGGTCTGTAAACGATCTTTTTTTTATTCAGCCTTCAGAGTGGGAAGATTTTGAAACGGCGTTTTCGCGTTTCCATCTTTAAGCTCTAACCGCATTTTTTATCTTACACGCATGAGTCATAGCGTCGCCTCTAAACACGCATGCGCGACACAGTATCACAACAACAATGGCGCCGTACTGTGTTGAATGGTTGCTGCTCATGCTACTCACCCTGCTGTCGGAATTACAACAGAATCTTCTTCTTCTGGAATATCTCCAGGAAGAACAGAGCAATATCGACGACATAGTTCATCACCTGAATTTGACTTAACCACGAAAATGGACCCGCAGGGCAACCATGTATAAATATTACTGCGCATGCCCAACATTTCATCGCCTGGCATACATTTTGCAGCGTTTCATGCATTCGTGTGGACGATCACATTTATTTTACGTCTCCGTCTGTACGACAAACGTTCTGGAAAATATTAGCGTTTCATGTTCGTTTTGACTTTCTTGTGGACGGGGCCTCAGTCAAGATGTGGGAGTTTCTAGGAGAGTAGTGGTCAGTTGTATGGATTCTAAGAATAGATTGAATGGGAAAACAACCAATCAAGTTGGTTAAAACTATTTTAGATTAAACAATGAAATGCTCAAAATCTGAGCAGGCCATTGGACACAGTTATAACTTTAGGGTTAAGTACTATTGCTGTCTATTGAACATTTATCAATGTTGGTGGTGTCAGCTGTAAGACATTGACCCTAATTCCTCAAGTTGATGATTCATGACCCACCTTAGACTTTTGAAAGCTGCAATTATATTTAAGCATTTTGGCTAATGTGACTAACTTGTATTGGATTGCCCTTGTAAAGATATAGATTGGATAAAAACACTGTCAAATTAGATTGGTTGCTTCAGCCAAAATATTGGTTAAACAGATATACTTCAACCCAATTAAAACTAAAAACAGTGGAAAAACTATTATGTTTTAATAAAAATGACCAACACCTTTTTTCTCATCATTGCCCAGTTTGCACAAACACTTTCACTGTCTGCTTGAGCTTGTTTCACTAAAGTGGCAGAAAAACAGTTTACCTTAAATGATTGCTCTCATCTAAGACATTTTACACACAAAAAAAACGTGCAAAAGATTTTATTATAAGACCAATGTTTAAAAATTTCAAAGGAATTAAATTGGGAAAAACAATTGCAAAATAAATCACAGATAATATTACTAACTGTAATGACATGTTTACATGGAGCTTCGTGAACTGTGGGGATCATTGAAGCAAACAGTTCAAATGCCTCATTAGGCTTCATCTCACCATCACTAGCAACCAGTGAAGAAGAGCTCGCTCCTAAAGCCGTCCAAAGCTCAGAAGATTTAGGTCATTTAAAAAGGAAAGAAGAATTTTTGAGGACTGTTCAGCTGTTACATCAGATGGATATTCGTCAGATGTGGCTCATTTCCAGCTTTCTTAGTTTTGATAATTCATTCAACTTTTTTTAGATGCGAAAAACCACATTCTTCTACAGGACGTCAATACAGCCTCTAGGGGGAGCCAACATGAAGCCTAAAGGAAGGCTAAATGTACTACAGCTGTTTTTTAAACTGTAACCTATGCTGGATTGGTAAGTGTGGACAAGAAAATGCGATCAATAGAGAACGGCCACAGTGCTGTTCACAGGTAGAAATGCTAATGGTGCAATTTGCCAACATAAAAGTAAATAACGTTTATACTGAAGGAAGCTTAAAATGTCGACTCTTACTAGTTTGTGTTTGATAGAAACCAGACTCTGCAAACTGGGCCGATTAATTGATTTGCAAAATAATCTTTATCTGAAGCCCTAGTTGTATTAAAAGGGACGATTATTTTTTCTGATTAATTGATTAATAATTGGATAGGAAAAGATTTCTGAAAGAAGACTTTTTACAAAATGAAACCAGGTGAAACTAAAACAGTTCCACTTGAGGTGTTCTGGATAGAGAATATTGAAAGATTTTTTTTTTTAATCTTTGATGCAAAAATGTTTATACATTTCTTTTATAATCTTGGTATATGTGCATTGCTCTGTCATCTAAAGGCATGTTTTGGAGTCTCTATACTCAAGTTAACAATTAATCGATTAATAAAATAAACGATCAATCACGATTTATCGCATTAATTGTTTCTGCGATAAATAAAACTGCTTTTGGTCAACAGACGAGGAAAATAAACTAATCAGTCAGAATTTTTATCAGCAGGTCAGAGTTTGACAACATCTCTGATTCTACTGGTGAAACTTTACAGCAGGCAAGTCTGCTAACTCTTAAAAAAAAATAAAGGACCTTTCTTGGCCAGAAGTTGAGTTAAACCCAACCCCGGTGAACCTTTTTGCATTTTCTTTCTGTGTGAAATTATTTAATCATAATTTGACACACAAACCAGGATTTAATTGGAAAAATACTTTCAGGGATTAAAGAAAAAACAAAACCCTGAGCCTGAACTTTTTCAACACAGGCAAGACACTTTCAAGCCATGCCAGGAGGGTGTGGGGGCAAGGGATGAGAGATTGCATGAATGATTGAAGACTAAATTTGACTTTTGAAAATCAAATACCAAAAACGGCCAGAAGATGGCAAAGGTGCATCTAGATCTACCACTTGCATGTACAGCATTTCTTTTGATATCCTGTTTTGCTGCTAAGTGTTCCTGGAGCCCAGCCTGCAGAAGCAAACGTCTGGTTGACCAAACTTCCTGCTCCAGCTGCTAAATGGCTCGCCATCTCGCCCCGTCTCCTCCAGCCATGCCCAGCGCCATTTATTTTTTAAGAGCCTTTATCATTTGGTCATGAACTGCATTGTTCCCACTCCATGCAATTCCGTTCTCTCCATCGTCCTTCTCTCCAAACACAAAGTTTAATTTATTTATTTTTTGACTTTTTACTCGTCTCTCCATTGAATGGAGCCGTAAATGATGCAAGGTGACTTTCAGTGTAGAACTTGAGCACTGTACCACAATCTATCTGGCCACTTGAGCAAGAAGCGAAAGGAGGAGGTACACGCTTTCCTAAGACCCGCCCCCTGCTTCTGACTGGGTAATATTGTTAGTATCAGAGCGCTTCTTTGCTACCATTGTCTGACAAACACAAGAGGGATTTCGATTGTCTATTTACTGTTTACCATTTTGTTACCCACAGGAAATCCAGCCTGGGGCCAGAATACTTTAATCCCTGTACTTTTTAAAGTAGATATATTTGATCCACACCAGCAAAGTGCATTACTTTAAAAACAAACAAAAAAACAAAAAAATCACTCACCTACAAGCCCAACAATGAGCAGTTTTCCCAAAAATAAGAGGAAATCCGTCACCTTATCCACAACAGCAACCCTGATGGATTAAACGTCTTATTAGTATAAAATGAAGACATTAGAAAGTCAACTCCACCTGATATTTAATCTATATTTAAATTACCTGATCACGTTTCTCATGAGGAGGAAGAAGGCATCTTTTGCTGAGGCACAAAAGTGTTTGCCATAGATCGCCACCTAGAGGCCAAACATGCACATTAAAAACAAATACATCTTATGCTACGTTCACACCAAAAGCAGCAGGAGCAGCTAGTTTACATGCAAAGTCAATAGTTGGCGCGCATCAAGGTGCAGCAAAACGTCTCGTAGCGTGTTTTGAGCAGCAGGCGCCTTGCGTCTGAGCATCTGAAGCAGCGTGTCGGGAGCGCATAAGCATCTGACGTGCGTGATGCGCCTTCAAACGCAGCAGCTGCTCGACTTGGAAAAATGTAACTTTTGCCGCTCGACACCACATCTACCAATCAGAGAAGCTGATCTGGAAGCTCGTAGAGAGACGGACATCGCTGATGATGCAGATCACCATGATCACTCCTGTGAAAAAGTTTATTAACTGCTAAATTGATTTAAAATGCTAAAATGTTCACTTTTATTATCCTGGTGCCTGCTGCTGTTTAGATTAACTACATGCCAACTGCCTTCCAGCCGCCGCGGCAAACCCCGACGAGGCTACTGGGCCATATGCTGCTGTTCAATGGGATTCCTAGGGACAGCGCACAGCTGGTATGTGGGGGTCTGAGCGGCTCCGACAGCGAAATAATATTTGAATGCAGGTTAGTAATCTGGATGAACTGACTGCACGGATTAAGTTTTCAGGTGGACTTTCCCACTTAAAAACCTATTTAAACTACTTTATTCCCACTGATCACAGCATACAGTATATAGCTGCCATTGTTACAGGCAGGATAGGGTAGCTCTGCCCAACGCGCTTTAGAACTAAATTTGTACAAGCATCAAAAATGAAGCAGCAGACACGTTTTTGCTGCTCCTGCCAATTTTGGTGTGAAGGTAGCATTAGCTCAGTAACTTCATATGGATTTATACTGTTTGGTTTAATGAGATGTTGCCTTCTTATCTGCTTATATAAAATGTGTTCCAGCATTAAAAATTATGTTCTTAAGGAAAAAAAAAAAACAGATTTAGTCCACTGTGAGAATTTCAACCCAGAACTCAGGAAACAGTACAACTGGTTCAACACCAAGTTTTGTGTCATTGATGTCAAAAAATTTATTCAGTAGAAAATAAATACAATTATTAAGCTGATGGCAGGGTAAAACTTAAGACTCTGGTATAGTAACTTAATTATTCAACAATAAAACATAAAGCAAAAGTGTTTCGTTTTTAATTAATTTAATATCCAAATGAAATCTGAATAAAAGTAATCAGCTTTAACTGCTTATGAGGGAGTGGAGGAGCTTTGCTCTTCGTCATGGTTTAATACCGTCTGTATAAAAAGCTCTGAAACCACAGCTTTCAGACAAAATATTGAGTTGTTAGATTCTGACATTACTGAATACTAAAAAAAAAGAAGTTTGTATCAATGGCTCCTACAGTATAGAAATACCACATCCTATCTGCATAACCAGAAAATAAACTTCTGAAACCAACACCCACCATGATGTAGGCGTTTCTATTCAGGAACTTGACAAACTTCTCCAGACACCAGAAGCAGCACTTCAGGCAGCAAAACATGAACTTTGTACATTTGTTTTGAGCATCTGGTGATAAAACAATGAAGAGACGAATCTTAAGTCCAAGGAATTTACACATTAAAGTTACGTTTCAGCAATAAACAAACACAGGATGACAAACCAGCACCGCACCTTTCAGCTTATGGTCCAAATACTCCAGCAGAACTCTGATGATCTGAATGATGGAGAGGATGAGAGACCCGAAGGCCAGAGACCCTGTGTGGTACCTGGAGAATCAACAACATGCATGAGATCAGGAAGGCACAGAAACATGGCGTCAGACGTGTGACCTCAGAGAGGCAGACACACCGTAGAGATCGACCCAAGGAAGAAAAGACGGGGAAGGTGGGGATATCGTCGGGTTTGACGAAGGCCCAGTAGTAGGAGGCAAAGGCCCCAGCTAAGGTCATCTGTCCCAGAGCCGTGACGAAGTTGGCGCACCAGAAGAAGAGGAAGACGTTGTAGAACTGTAGAGCGATCAGGTATTTGTGGTAAAAGGTTTCTCCGCCGTAGAAGGCAAACAGGCACTCTGAGTCAGGGCACTGCTTCTTCATTTCACTGGTGGAATAGTTCTGAAAAATGATTTAAAAAAATATGATTTAGGAGCTTCTGTGGCCTCTTGTAAAAAAAGCAGCGAGTTCAGAGCAACTTACGGCTGGTTCACAGGTTTCTGCAGAATACGCACACGCCGACTCATTGACCACTTTGTAGACGGGCTCATTGGAAGTGGACAAGAAACTGATCAGTCAAGGTCTACGCTTAATTAAAATAAAATGACCTTTGTCCAGATTATCGTTCTTAAATCATCTAAAATATTAGGAGCTCAGGTTAAATTAAGCTTAAAAGCTGGAAAAGCCATTTATTAATCAACTAAGGCAGAAAACTATCAGAGAGGCTCACACTTTAGCAAACGTTACCAATTTAAAACCTTTAATCTCAAATACTTTAATCTTAAATGTAGAGGAAAGAAAAGGTTTTCATTTGGTACATACATACACACAAAAGACTGTCCTCCTGCGGGAATTAAGCACTAAGAACAAAAAAACAAAGCAGTTCTAATCAGTAAATTATAAAATGAATAAAAGAAATAGTCTTTTTGGGTGAGAATAGAAATAAATTGAACGCAGGTTTAATAATATAAAAAACAGCATCAACAACCAAAGTAGTTGGTAGATATCTTTAAGACCTCTAATATTTAAACACAAAATTTTGAAACCAGGCTTTGCTTCCTGTGTTCTCCAATGAAGTTAGATTGACCGTTTCTCAATGTGTGCCTGTGCGTTCAAGTGCTAGTAAAAAGTTTTAGCCTCGTGAGACCATCCTGATCTCGCGAGCTTTCAAGATTTCACTCGCTAATCAGTCTGGAGACT